ATGCGGAGGACCTCTTCTGCCTTGGCATGGAGCCCCTTCCCCTCGAAATCCTCACTAGCAGCAAATATCTTCCTAACAAAGTCTAGCTCTTTCATCTGCGTCTCAGGACTCCAGTTCGCCGCACAGCAATTGAACACCTCCTTAACAAACCCAAACATCTCAGAAGCATGGTTGCAGCCGAGGCACTGGAACTGCATCTCGGTTGTGCCCATCGCCCCCTTCAGTGTCGGCCCTGGCCTTATCAAGTTCTTCTCTAGCGCGCATGCAGCGTGGCACCAATGGGAGCAGACATCACATCCAACCCAGCTGCATGTATTTGCAGCACAATCAAACTTCTGGCACACGGGGCACATACACGTGCTGCAGAACCCCTTCTTGGTGGAGCAAATCTTACACTCACAGTCGTCCACAGGGACGACACTCTTGCAGTTCATGTTGCGGCACCGTGTCAGTAGGAACATCTCCACGAGCTCGCTGCTCGAAACTCGGCCCTTACCAGTAACAAAAGCGGCCATACCAGTCTTGATAGCCACCAGGATCTCCAGCTGCGTCTTGTTAGCACGCCCCAATACCTCGGCAGTCAGGTCCGAGCGACGCTCCAGCTTCCGCTGCAGGCTTGACAGCTCGTCCCTCTTCTCCGGGGCATCAATCATGCTCCGCACTGTCTCCCGCAGCATCTCCAGGGTTTCACTGGGAAAATCCTGCAGGACCTGAGCCATCGCAGGCACAGGGTCCGACACGATGTCCCGCAAGATCCTCTCAGGCCGTGACGAGTGCATCCCTCCGCGGCTGCCGTCAAAGCTGCCGCCAGCGCTGAGCGCCGCTGCCGGCGTTACCATCCTGGCGGGGAGCTCCGTGGGGAAGAAGGACGAGGTGCCGTCCTTGAGCTGCGACGGGGCGAAGGCGACGCTGCCGTCCCCCATGGGGCGGAAGTTGAACCGGCTGTGGACGGAGCCGTTGGTGCCCTCCCCGGCGGCGTAGATGTCGGTGGAGTTGTGCGTGAGGGAGCAGCTCGGGTTGTGCGAGAACACCGAGTAGGAGTAGGACATGTCGTCGGAGTTGATGCTCCGGGTGCGCCCCGTGTTGGCGCTGTAGGTCCGCCTGGGGGGCGGCGCGACAGGCGCGGCTGTGGTCGCGGCGCTCCCCCCGCCCCGCAGATCGCCATCGACCGGGAGGAGTGACGCAAGCTGCGACGGAGGCAGGGAGGAGGACGGCTGCTGGGAGGCCGGCGGCGGCGGCGCGGGCGCGTCGTTGGAGAGGGAGAGCGAGAGCTGGAGCGAGTCTAGGCGGGGCTTCTTACCCCCGACCACGGACGAGTCGTCGCCGGGCGGATCCCCGCGCTTGGGCGCGGAGAGGTGGAAGAAATCCCGCTCGACGCACAGCTTGGCGTTGGCCGCGGCATCGTCAGCCGGGGCGGCAGCCGCCTCGGGGTTGGGCGGCGAGGACGGCCCCGCCGCAGCGGGCGGCGCCTTGTCGCAGAGGTAGCTGAGCGTGAGCTCCCGGTTGGGGAAGGGCGGCTCCGGCGGGTTGGACCCGGGCTCGGCGGCGCTGGCGTCCTTGGATCCGTCGGAGTCGCCGAACATCGTCGCTGGATCCGGGGCGAGCGCGGCCGGATTTCGGTCGCTCTTTTTTGGCCGGCGAGGAAGGCGAGGGGAAGGGAGCGGGGCGGGGCGGCGGGCGCTGCGCTCGGTTGACTTCTGCACGCCGCAGCACCCCACGCCACGCGGAAATGGAGTGGCAAGGCGAGGACTGACGTGACCAGGTAATGAAATGGGATTTGATTGGATTGGATTTATTTATTTTATTTCCCCCCTTCGCTTTTCTTGTGATTTATTTTGTTGGATTAAGTCCACTTTTAACTCCTCAACTGTTGGGTTGGTTTAATTTTGATCATCAACTACAAAACCGTCTAATGCTAGTACCCAAACTGTCAAAACCGTTCACTTTTAGCACCTGGACGCGGGTGAGACGGTTTTGTCCAACGTAGAGCGGTTTTGTCCATCCCAGTGACATGTGGGGCCCACGCGTCATTGACTCAACCCCTCCCTCTCCTTCTTCACGGTCACTCCCCCGACGCCTCCTCTCTACGCGCACAGCGGGGCGGGTGCTACTCCCTCGCGCGGCTCCCTCGTGGGCGTTGCTCCCACGCCACAAGATCGCCAATAAAGCGCGTACGCCTCTCGTCGCGTCGGCTGTTGGCCCATGCAAGCAAGAAGTTATGCCATGCATGGCCGAGGCCGCAGACGTTTTAAATCAAGACTGCAGGCCGCTTCGCGCTGTGGCGGCGGCCCGGGTGATGATGCTTAAACGACAGTTCGTGTAGCGCGCCGCGCCGCTGCGCGCCCGCGGCGGTGGCGCCGGGGTGATGATGCACGAGTTCTGGCGCGCGCGGCGCGGCGGTGGAGGAGGCCAAGGACGTCGTCGAGCGTGGCGGCGATGTGGCGGCAGCCGCGGTGAAGGTGGGACTACGCGCGGGCGCGCTCCAGGCCGCATGCGAGGACGTGCTGGCGCTCATCAACGGCCAGGAAGAAGCTGCTGGACCTCTCCTTGGGTCGTCCCCGCCGTTGTGGCATCTCACCACCGCCCGCGCCTGCGAGAGGAGTGGAGGCCAGCGCCGCCGTGTCGGAGGGAGCAGCGCTCGCGAGGGAGCCGCGCAGCAAGCTCTTCAGAACACGTCGGGCCCGTGGAACGCCTGGAAGTGGCAGCTGTCGGTGCCGAGCATCCGGCGTTCGCGCTGCTCTCCACGACGTCTAGTCGCCATAAGACGGCCTGTGCCGCCGGTTCTGCCGCGAGCTGGGTTCCTAGCAAATCGTTTGCAACATTCGGCTGCGAATTCGATTACCCGGGGACGACAGGGTACATGGCGTTTCCCCAGTCATTCTTGATGATGTGGAGGTCGGTGTGGCAGATCCCACAGTAGAGCACCTTGATCGTGACATCGTCGTCTTTGGGAACCCTGAAATTGGAACCAGCGAAATGGATTCCATGAACTGAGCTAAGTAACTCTGCAAGGAAGAACTCTCAACATTTGTTATACTCCACAAAACAGCCGGTACCAAGCTCAGCAAAGTAGCAATAAAGGGGCAGGTACTCAGCTAGCTCTAGCTGAAAGTTCACCCAATTCTCGGGGCCGCCACACGGGACTACCCGGCTCGCCTTCTCGGGGCTCCATGCCGGGAATCTCCTCCCGTGCGCCAATGCTGCCGCCGACAGGGACCATCGAGATGCAGCCCACCACGACCTCGAGCGCGTAGTTGGCCTCCTCGAGCTCCGCCACCTTCTTCCTCAGCTCCGCCGCCTCGCGCTTGGCCTCCTCCTCGCGCGCCTTCGACTCTGCCACGGCGCGCCGCGCTGCCTCCTCGAGCCGGTGGAGCGCCGCCACCCCGTGCTTGAGTACCCGTTATGTCGCGATCCGAGCCTCCTGCGCTTTGTCTTTGCTCATACGCCGCGCTTGATGCGCGCCATTATTGCGCGCTCAGGCGCCTCTGCGTGCGCCGAAGCGTGCCGTTCTCCTCCCATGGCCGCCACCACTCGGCCAGAGTCTGCCGCCGCCGCCCGCTTCGCCGCTGGCGATGCGTGGCGTGGAGGCGCCCGCCCCGGCCATCAGTCGCCAGAGAGAGGAGGCGTCCGGGGAGAGACCGTGAAGATGGAGAGGGAGGGGTTGAGTCAATGACGCGTGGGCCCCACATGTCACTGAGATGGACAAAACCGCTCTACGTTGGACAAAACCGTTTCACCCGCGTCCAGGTGCTAAAAGTGAACGGTTTTGACAGTTGGGATACTAACATTAGACGGTTTTGTAGTTGATGGTCAAAATTAAACTAACACAATAGTTGATGGACCAAAAGTGGACTTAATCCTTTGTTTCGAAGGGTAGGCCCCGCGCAGCTGTGGATGTGGTGGCCTCTCCGCCTAGGCGACTAGCGCGTCCGCGGTTCAAAGCGGCGCGGCGGCGTCTCTCACTCGGTTTCGGCTGTTTTGCCGACTGGGTCGTCGTGTTGTGGAACCGGACGCTCCCCGTTGGAACAGTGAGTCGACTACGCGCACGGCGCTCTAGCGTTTGACCGAGACGGTGCTTCGCCCTAGCAATAGCATCTCGTGACTAGTGTGAGTAGTGACCGCAAAGCCCGAACCTATCCAACCGTCCGTGTAGAGTGTACTAGACCGGTGCACGGGAGAAAAGGGGGGAGAAAGGCCAAGTCGCATGTGATTTCGGACAAGAACCACCGCTTCGCGCTGGGGTGTCTAGCCTCTAGCGGGCGGGAGAGAAGACCCCACGCGACGCGAGTCGGCAGAAAGAGAAACGGCGCGAGGCGTGCCGGTCTGAGTGGAGTGCCGACGCAGAAGCAATCGATCTCGATCGGCAGCAAAAAAAAGCTCGAATTTCTTAACATATCTGTTGCCCGGCCGTGAGAATTGAGATAGGTATAAGTCAGCAACTCTGCTGCTTCCCCGGCAACTGACGACGACAGAGATGGTGAAGGCCATCCAAGAGGCCGAGGCCTAGGAAGACGAACCCAAGATACACCGGTAGTGAATGGGCCATCTAGGCGCTTGCACGCGCAGACGCAAGGCAATGCCTTTGTAACTACTTAAGCTGAGCGACAAAGAGGTGCGGAGCACTTTTAAAATCAACACAAACATGTTATCCTCGTACTAAGAACTCTTCCGTACTCGTTCTTCCTGTTCTTCTTCTTCCTCAAGCCTCATCTTCTTCTCCTCCGATTCTCCATCCCCGCTGCTTGTTCCTCACAAGTGGTATCAGAGACACCGATCCTCGGCACTGATCAATCGACCGGAGCACCTTACTCCATCGATTGCTCGAATCCCACCGGAATTGGTTGGTCTAACCCGAGTTCGATCTATGAGCTGCAGTTCGAATTTGGGATTCCGTAATTCCGTTCCAGGGACCACAATTTGTGGCGTGCGCTGCCGATCTGGATCCTGCCTCCCTTTCCACCTACGATCACTACACCCGTCTTCAACACAGCCGTGGTGCCATGGGTCCCGACCAGAAGGCGCTCCTGGTCGAGCTCGACAAGCGCTTCGCCGCCCAGGAGAAGCGATTCGATGGTCTGGAGCAGAAACTCGATTCAACCGCGGCATCGTTTTCCACCCGTCTGGACACCTTGGAGTCTGCAGCCAAGGTGTTCGACGAATGGCGCCCTGGAGTCGACGGTGTCATCGATGATCTTCGCATCGAGGTCAACAAGCTCGCAACCCTAAAGCTCGAATTTGGGAAGATCTCTAAGTACATGGAACGCTCAAGTGTTCGCGACCGCGCCCGCCACCAAGTCGGCGTCGGCTCCTGCGTCACCAAACGTGCGTCGATCCACGACGCCAAGCCCGTCCTCAGCCCCAACTTCAAGTCGCCCGGCTACGGCGACTTCCAGGCTGCCCCGTGCCCCACCCACGGGATACGCAGCCACTCGGCCCAATGGGCACTGTGTCAAAATCGGGAACCGGGAAGGTGACTTCAGAGTGGTCACCACTCTGATTCCACCTCCCGGCATAGGTACGTTTCCTTGCCATCCTCCTTCCTCTCATCCGTTACCATGTCCTTCTCCACGCCCACCACCACCACCACACCAACCACAGCCACACCCAGGAGGCCATTATGAGTCAGGTCATCAGGAGGGTTCTGGAAGCGGCCATACCGGCAAGCTTCCCAAGTTTGATTTCCCTAGGTTTGAGGGGTATCATCGTAAGTTGTGGATCAAGCAAGCCGTTCACTACTTTGAACTCTATCGTGTCGAGTCCATTGTTTGGGTGCCAGCTGCCACTATGCATTTTCATGGTGCCGCCAAACGTTGGCTCTCTTCGGTTGAAGATCAGCTCGAAGCCATCACTTGGTCCGATTTCTGTTCACAATTGCTTCCGCGCTTTGCCAGGGATGAGCACGAGCTGCTGCTTCGTCGCTTGTTTCAAATTCGGCAAACCGGCCCTATAAATGAATATATTGATCAATTTGTGACTCTAGTTGATGACCTCAAAGCTTACGCCAAACATCCAGACCCACTCTATTACACTCAGCGTTTCATTGACGGCTTGTGTGATGATATCAAAGTAGTTATCCTTGTTCAGCGTCCTTCGACATTGGATACTGCTTGTGTTCTTGCCCAATTGCAGGAAGAGGCCTTGGGTGCGACAAAGCGTCCTTATCGGCCACCAGCTCTTGAGGAACACGTGGAATACTGCATTACCGTTTCTGCCTCCACCACCCAAGCCGGCTGAAGGAGAACTCAAGCGACTTCCTAACACGCCTAACTCATCGGCTAAAGACAAGTTCCGGTCATTGCGCGCTTCTCGTCGTGCTCAGGGATTATGCATTCGCTGTGGGTCAAAGTAGAGCCGTGATCATAAGTGCACCGAGCAAGTTCAGTTACATGTGTTGCAAGAGCTGCTTGATATGTTTCCAGAAGGCGATGATGAAGACGGCTCCGGCCCCAGTTCTCCGACTGCCTCACAGATTATGATGCATTTATCTGTGGCTGCGACAATGGGCAAAGCTTCCCCTAAGACCTTCTGTTTATCTAGTGACATTCAGGGCCGTGCATTATCTATTTTGGTGGATTCAGGTTCCTCTCACACATTTCTCAGTACATCTGTTGCTGCTTCTCTGACCGATGTTCAGCAATTGGTTCCACCTGTGACAGTACAGGTTGCTAATGGTGCAGTGTTGCTGTGTCATTCCCACATTCCTAATGGTAATTGGTCTGTGCAAGGCTGCTCGTTCTCTGCAGATCTGAAGATTTTGCCGTTATCATCATATGACATGATCTTGGGCATTGATTGGCTATCCAGCTTCAGTCTGATGCAAGTACACTGGGCTCAACGTTGGTTGTCTATTCCATATCAGGGTACCACTGCTGTCCTTTTGGGTGATGCTCCTGACTTGCCTGTGGAGTCTGTAATTTAGTTGAGTCTGCTGCACGACGCATCCTCATATTTAGCTTCTGCATCTGAACATTCGGATATTGCTGCGTTGTTATCAGAATTCGATCAGTTGTTCCAACCGGCATCAGGGCTACCACTGAGCAGAGACTGTGATCATCCCATACCCTTGATTCCTGGCGCCCAGCCGGTGTTTGTTCGACCTTATCGCTATGCACCTCTGTTGAAGACTGAGATTGAGCGGCAGGTCTCGGATATGCTCCAACAAGGCATTATTTAGCATAATAACAGTGCCTTTGCTTCCCCGGTCTTATTGGTGAAGAAAAAAGATCACAGTTGACACTTCTGCGTGGACTATCGTCAGTTGAATGCTATTACTGTCAAAGGGAAGTACCCTATTCCTATCATTGAGGAGTTGTTAGATGAGCTGTCTGGGGCTTCTTACTTCACCACATTGGACCTTCAAGCCGGCTTCCATCAAATCCGAATGAAGGAGGGGGAAGAATATAAGACTGTATTTCAAACTCACTTTGGTCAGTTCGAATTCCGTGTCATGTCATTCGGATTAACCGGGGCACCGAGCACATTTCAGGGAGCTATGAACACTACACTAGGACCATGTCTGCGCAAGTTTGTGCTCGTCTTTTTTGATGATATATTGATCTATAGTCGGACCTAGGAAGAGCACCTGACCCATATGCGTATTGTGTTTGAGTTGTTGTCTCACGATAAGTGGAAATTGAAACTGTCCAAGTGTTCCTTTGCGCAGACACACATTTCTTATCTTGGCCATATTATCAATTCTCAGGGTGTCGGCACCGACCCTGCAAAGCTCACCGCCATTACTAATTGGCCTCAACCGACATCGGTCAAGGAACTCCGATTTTTTTTGGGCCTCGCCGGGTATTATCACCGCTTTGTGCGTCACTTTGGCCTGATCTCCAAGCCGTTGACAAATCTTCTGAAGAAGCAAACCAAGTTCATTTGGACTCCTGAGCATACAGCCGCCTTTCAAGCCCTTAAGGATGCTTTATGTCAGTCTCCGGTTTTAGCACTGCCGAATTTTACCAAGCCATTCACGATTGAGATAGATGCATCGGACTCAGGTGTTGGAGTGGTGCTTATGTAGGATGGCCATCCATTGGCGTTCTTCAGTAAGGCGTTGGGCCCCAGGACCCACAGCTTATCCACATATGAGAAAGAATTCATGGCCATACTGTTGGCGGTACAACAATGGCGCTCCTATTTGCAATTTCAAGAGTTTATCATTCTTACTGACCAACGTAGTCTCACACAATTGAGTGATCAGCGTCTTTATACACATTGGTAGCAGCGAGTGTTCACCAAGCTGCTCGGCTTGCAGTACCGAATTGTGTATCGCCCAGGCACTACTAACCGAGTGGCTGATGCCCTGTCCCAGCACCCGGAGCCCCCAGCGTCCTATGCCACGGTCTCTGCCTTGGTGCCCACTTGGTCATCAACGGTCCAGGCCAGCTACCGAGATGATGCCTATGCCACTGAGCTTCTCTCCAAGTTATAATTGGATCCTGCAGCCGTACCTCATTTTCCTCTACATTCGGGTCTGTTACGTAACTGCAACTGCATCTGGGTGGGTGCTGATCAGGACCTTTAGAACCGTTTTATTTCTGAGTTCCACTCAAGTGCTTGGGCTGGTCATTCTGGAGTACCCGTCACATACATGCGCCTGAAGCAATGTTTTGCCTAGAAAGGGATGAAGGCTGCTGTCAAGGTTTATGTTCAGTCATGTGCTACTTGTCAACAATCCAAGTATGATCGATCAAGAGCTCCAAGGTTGCTTCAGCCGCTACCTGTTCTAGAGTCGGCTAGGTAGGTGATATCCCTTGATTTCGTTGAAGGTCTTCCCCTCTCTGATAGTTACAACTATGTGCTGGTCGTGGTTGATCTGCTGACTAAATACGGCCACTTCATCCCACTTCGGCATCCATTTACTGCGGTAGGGGTGGCCAAGGCATTCTTTCACTCTGTCTATCGCCTCCATGGCCTGCCTAGTGCTATTATTTCAGACCGTGATCGTATTTTTACTAGTCACTTCTGGACTGAGTTGTTCAAGCTGGCCGATGTCAAGCTCTGCCGTAGTACTGCGTATCACCCTCAGTCAGACGGCCAGACGGAGCGACTTAATCAGTGTCTGGAAACTTATTTACGCTGTTATGTCCATGCTTGCCCACGTAAGTGGAGTCAATGGTTAACTTTCTGCTGAATTCTGGTATAATACATGTCTACATTCAACTATTGGCCGCACACGGTTTGAGGCTCTTTATGGTTATCAACCACGAATGTTGGTTGTTTATCCTTCCTCGGCGGTCCACTCAGAAGTGCAAATCTAGACATCGGATCGCAGATGGATGGACCAGCTGCTCAAGCACCACCTCCACCGGGCTAAAAATCGTATGAAGAAACTAGCTGATCAACATCGTTCTGAGCTCAGCTTTGCTGTGAATGATCTAGTTTTCTTGAAGTTGCAACCCTATGTTTAGACATCGCTGGCTCCCAGGTCTCATCAGAAGTTGGCGTTCAGATTCTTCGGACCATTCAGCATTGTGGAGCGCATTGGGACTGTGGCTAATCGTCTTGCTTTGCCAGCTCACTCCTCTATACATCCTGTTTTTCATGTCTCCCAACTGAAGAAGGCGGTTGGTGCCCATCATGAAGTAATCCCTTCGTTGCCTACTGACTTTCCCTGGCAACTAATGAGGACAGAGATGGTGAACGCCGGCCCAAGAGGCCGAGGCCCAGGAAGGCGAACCCAAGAGGTAGTGAATGGGCCATCTAGGCGCTTTGCACATGCAGATGCGAGGCAATGCCTTTGTAACTACCTAAGCTGAGCGACAGAGAGGTGGGGGAGCACTTTGGAAATCAACACAAACCTGTTATCCTCGTACTAAGAACTCCTCCGTACTTGTTCTTCTTCTTCCTCGAGCCTTATCTTCTTCTCCTCCGATTCTCCACCCCCGCTGCTTGTTCCTTACAGTATAGGCGTGATATTTTTGTCCGTGGCGAGTGCAAGTGCATCACTGACGCAATGCACTACGTACTCCGTACTCCGTACTCCGTACTCCAAGACGGTGAGGTTAGGTACGATAAGGCCGTCGTCAGTTTTGCAGTCTAAAGATCCAACCACTTTGTGGAACACGTCCGACAACGGCCCACCGGAGGACGTAGCAAAGGCGGCCCCGGCTTGCGTACCGAGAAAGAAAAATTCCAACCTGCATTCAAGGCCCGGGTGGGTGGTCGCGTCGTCACAGCATGAGCCTGCCGGCGGCGCAATGTCAATGCCACCAGCCAAGAGCCGCCCAACCGCCGCGCGCCAGTTGTGTCGCGAGCAAGCCGTTCTCGCTGCGCGCGTGCCACCCGTTGACGCAAGCCGCGCTTCATCGTACAACTACCGGTAGTGCTGTATCGTATCGATCTGGTATTGTTTCGCGTCGTCGGGGTATCTGATGCTCTCAGTAGTGCTGTGGTTCCGTATGACTCAGAAGACAGCCTTTCTCTGCTGACTGGGAATTGTTGGAGCATCCCATCCATGTGCATGTGCTGCGTGTCCCCAGGACCCGCCGAATCACCACCAGCTCGATGCTCGACTGCCCGGGTGGCGGGTGCTAGTGCTACTGGCTACTGCTGCATCAAATCGGAGCGGTGCCTCAACTTGAAACGAAGATTCTTTTCTTTCCCCTGCTTCCTGGATGCCGACTAGCTCCTTAAGAGTGTCCGCTGCCGATCAACCGATGCCTCCACTCCACTCCATAGAGGAGTATTACCGTAAAGATCAAAGTCCACTCGACTCCTCCAAAGCTCGGTCATTCCGCCTTGGTGCGGCTTGACCCGCCGCTGCCTTGATCGTATCTTTTGCAAAGCGACCTTTGGCTCGCTTTCCAAATGCCGCTAAGCTACGCCAACGCCGCTCTACCCGTTCCAGGCTTCCAGCAGAAATAAAACGTATTACAAGGAGCAACAAGGGAACATATATATATAAAAAACGGGTTCAACCCGCTAACGAAAAAAAGGAAACATATATATTGCCCGAACTAACCAGAGGGCTCTCTGTTTTATTATATGCAATACACCCGGCCCAAAGTATAATCTAAGCCAACGGGATTTCCAACAAGTGGGGATCTAGAGCGCCTTCGCCTAGCCGGTGCCCTAGGCGAAGGCCTGGAGGGTAGAAAATGGAAAGGGGGCCCAGGGGTAATTAGGGCTTCATAAATGGATTCACCAACCTATCATTCTACTAGATCTATACCCCTTTTATACGGTATTGTTTGCTACTGCAACTCTTTACAACTTTGCCCTCCAACAGCTATGGTACAACCTCGGAATATTCCTACGCTAATACAAGCTACTAAGGGTAGTCTGGACATCTTCCTCCTCAACCGCCTCTATTTGTTGGGCCGCCGCCAAGGGCCCATCAGCGGCCTGCTACCCAGCGCTGCCGCCTATGCTGGACCTCCTCCGGCTTCCTGGACCTCCGCTTGGGGCGCCTTCCTCGGGGCCTTTGCCCATGGCCGTACTCAAGCACCTTCGCCGTGCCCTTCGGACTTTCGCCTGCACTACGAGAGCCTTCACCCTCGGCCATACTCAAGCACCTTCGCCGCGCCCTCCGGACCTTCGCCTAGAGCGCCCGGCCGAGCGAAGGTTCCTCCTTGTTTTCTTGCATGTTGCTCATGAAAAACTTGTTGATTGTTAGTTCGCATTGTTATTGTGAACCTTAGCTTCCGCGGCTCGTAACCGTGTCCCAACAGTTCCCCCCTTTGAGGGCGTGGTCTGATGCTGGCGGGCCTTGTCCTCCAAATCAGGTCCTCAGGTTCTGAGGCACGGAGGCTTCCCCCCTGGGTTGCCCGGATCAGACCGTTGTGTTGGTGACGTGTCACTACTTGATTGGCTGCGGTGGCTCTGCAACCGACGCGCTGTCGAACGGATGCGACCGTTGGCCCTGGAAGTTGAAGCGATGGGGCGGGGGCTATATAAAGGGGAGGTAGGTGAAGG